GCGGGGGAAGGAGCCGCGGGGGAAGGAGCCGCGGGGGAAGGAGCCGCGGGGGAAGGAGCCGCGGGCCGAGTGCCGCGTTGGCGCCGCTGCCCCGCCGCCAAGCCGAGCTTAGGGAGGCGGGCAGCGCCCGGCAGGTGCTGCCGGGGCTCGCAGAGGGAGCACCGCTTCCGAGGGGAAAAGTAAGATAAGGRAAAAAGGCCGGTTCAGAGGCGGCGGCGAGGCAGGAGAGTGTTGGATGCATCTTTTCCATCGGATAGGCTGGTCTGTAGCAGCCACTTTCCGTGGCAGTGAAACTTCTTACTCCTCTGAACTCACCTATTAAGCTTTCTAACTTTTTGGCACTATAAGATATTATTCTTATTTACTTAYTTGTGCCTATTAAGGTAGTCAGGGGCTAGTTATGAGCTGGCAAGTGCCTCAGACCTGGCAGACCCCCGGGAGCAGAGCTTCCCTCAGCACTGTTGTGCCGCTGCCGCCCTTCCTGCGTTGTGCCGCTGCTATCAAACACCTTTATTTATCTATTTATTTATTTATTTATTTATTCATTCCAAAGCTCGAGCCTGGAGGTCTTTGGTGTGAAATGAATGCTGTGCTTTGAGCCCAGATCTACTGATAATACGTGGGCTGTGTACCTGTACCCAGGAGAGAGGAGATCACACAGAGTGGTTGAAGGTGGAAGGGACCTCATGGGATCATCTAGTCCATCCCCTCTGTTCGAGCAGGGACACTCRGAACACGAGGCCAGGGTTGCAAAATCAGAGGCAAGAACTCATCAGTCCATTTCTCATATCATCGTGCTTGCAGCCTGCCTTGGCAGCAGGATCCATCGAGGAAACAGAGCCCGCCAAAGAGACTAGAAAGAAAATCTTCTACGAGCTCCTGAAATGCGCTGACGCTTGGTCTAAGAGGTTGARTAACCCTGTAACACTATTCTGATGCTTCCTTGCCCTTGGTATCGTGAGAGAATCAAACGAAAGTGCTATCAAGGATGGAATATCAGGCAGTCGAGTTGCTTGAGCATATCTCCTCCCTGGAGCTCATTGTACCGTGCTAGCCTAGCCCCGTGCTTGCTCAGGCGCATCTTTCTGACCTTGCAGTCATGTAAAGYGCTGTATTATTTAGTGCCAATGTTAACAAAATAATACTGGCAGGGTGCTTGTTCCCATTCGGATTAGGTCAGTTTGAAAGAAGKAGTTCAGATGCAGATAACTCATGTTAACTTTGTAGTCGAGTCMTGTCTTGCTGATCCCCAAAGACAGACAGGAAGGAAAGAGGGAAAGTAAAATCAACAGCCTAGGTCCCACAAATTTCCTGTGTCCGTGTATCCAAACAATCTTCTTAAATGAAAATTGTTGCAGCCATCATTTTGTCTTCTCATTTTTGATCATACCTTTATTCTCTGGGTTTATTCTTCTGATTTTGCTTGCATTCCTTATTTCTAGGGCTTTGCCACTGCCACGGGAAAGAAATGCAAATATTGGAAAAGTTCTCTTTTAAAGGCTTTTTTTTTTTTAATTGTGTTATGTTGTTTATACACTTTGGGAAGAACCAGAATATTTATACTTGGCTAGGTGCTCTTCAGTAATTCTTGGTGCAAATGTGCTTAAGAAAAAATATGATGTCAGTACATTTGAGGTTTAATTTGTGGATTATAGTGTGTTACATTGCTGTGTGGAGAGTTGTTTTGAGGTAAGTGTATATGTAACTTGCCTTTAGTTGTTTTTTTTAGACAGAACAACAAATAGTTTTTTGGAGTTTTTATTCTTCCTTGTGTATTATGTAGCATAGTGCTACCTGATGATATGTTACAAAAAAGTTACAGTTGTTAAACAAAATGCATTTTATACATCTAAAAATGATCGCAGACTTCAAGCAACTCAGTATTGTTAATTGAAATGTTTGGAAAGCTTACGAAAGCTTACCAGTTTTGAAGACTTTTGAAAACCAGTTTTGATAATGTGGCTCTATAATCTCCTTTAATCTAGCATGCATCTCTAATCTGGAAAAAAAGGTGTTGCTTTTTATTCGTTTCTCTCGAGTTCTTTTCCTTTTCTCATGTTGGTGATCGCCGCGGTGTGCCTGGGTGGAGAGCCGGCTAAAGGACCCATGCTGGCTGAAACCCGGCCGTCTGTGCCTGTTGCGGAGATGCTTTATTGCAGTTTTTGTTTGGTTTGACCAGGTGCAGAATATAGTGTACCCAGGCAGACAGACTATGACAAATCTAAAACGGACAGTCCTGCCTTTCTCCTCTGGTAAACATCCCGGTTCCTGCGGTTCCATTGGCATTGCRGATCATGTGGCCGGGGAGCGAGTTGGACCTACCTTTGCTCTGATACGGAGCCGTCGGGCAATTTCTGGTAGCATCAGCAAGTGTGATTGCTGCTGATGCAAGGAGAGGGGAAGGGGGCCTACGTGGCTGGTGATGAAGGCAGTAGCTGCTCAGGCTCAGATGACCCTTGCCCAGTCAKGAAAGTTGCTCTGTGTTGATTAGCTTAGTGTTCAGACAACACCCTGGTGGTCCCGGGTTAAGGGTGTCTGTGAACCATGACCTGAAGGGTGAGTTTTGCATTAGTGAACATACTGAACCCCTTTGAAGTGCCAACACCAACATTCCTATACGCTGTGTATTAGGACACTTCCATATCTAACTAAACTATAGGCATAATGTATTTATTTATTAACGTAGGTATCCTGACCAAGGTGCCCGTTGCTCATTTAATAACTGCTTGCTGCAGATTATGCCCGTGTCTTTGGGTTTGCTCCAGCACGGACATGTCGATTGTGCCTTTTGCCCCGTTTTTCAAAGGGACTGTCACTGAGGCCAAGTTGTCCTGGAATGACTTAACACAAAATAAACAAAAGTAAAACAAGTATATTTTTAAAACAACCCATTGTTTATCTTTCAAGTTGGTTTCTATAATCAGTTTGATAACTTCTGTTTTATCTAAATCACTACAGAAAATACACTTACTCTGTTTTGGAAAGGGAAACATTTTCATAAGTGGTTTAATTCTAGTTTCACTTCCTGTTACAATAAGCAGAATGAGTTGAAGTATTAAGTTATTGAAACATCTTTCTATTGATGCTGCATAACATGATGGAAATGGCAGTTCTTAAACTTTTCTCACAAGAGAATAAGACACTTGTCTTAGACTTRTATCACAGTCTTAGAAGCTAAATTTTATGTATGTGAATAACTTTCCCAGAAACTTGGTTAAGCAGTTTATAAAGTTAACTTTAAAGTGAGTGGTCACTGAGCGATATGCTGCCTTGTGGCAGTTAGTATTCAAGATGATGCAACTRAGGTTTAAGCTAGTGAAGTCAGGTGGTCCTTAGAGTGGTAGAGGAAAGGGAAAAGAATTTTTAGGGATGTTTATTTTAAAACATCTTTTTTGTTTTTAGATGCCTGGTGATACTCAAAATTGTTTTTTTTCCCCCTGTTTGAGGGGAAAATTTATTATTCAGAGAATAATAAAATGTTTTATAAAGAACAACTGGTTGGAGATGTGAAGGCTGGGGGCAGCCTTATCCTCAGTGACCATGAGATGATGGAGCTCAGGGTCCTGTGAGGAGGAAGCAGGGTGATACGTAGGAYCACAACCCTGGGCTTCAGGAAAGCAAACTTTGGCCCCTTCAGAGACCTACTTGGAGCAATCCCAAAGGTTAGGGTCCTAGATGGAAGGAGGCTCCAAAGAGTTGGTTCATATTCAAGCATCATTTCCCCCAGGCTCTGGATCAGTGCATCCTTATGAGTAAGAAGTCAGGGGTAGCAGATCTGCATGGATGGATGAGCAAGGAGCGCCTGGCGAAACTCAGATGGAAGAAGGAAATGTACATAAAGTGGAAAAGGGGACGGGCCACTTGGAATATTGGAATTTGGCAAAATATGCAGGCATGCGATGGGGAAGGGTGAAGCGCATTTGGAATTAAATCTGGCAACGGATGTGATGCAATAGAAGAAGAAAAATATACATACATCATTAGCAAAAGCAAGACTAGGAAAAATATGAGGCCCTGCTGAATAGGGTGAGGGCCCTGGTGACAAAGGATAGTAAAGATCTTTTTTGGCTTCAGTCTTTACTGCTAAGGTCAGCACTCTGGAATCCYGAACCCAGGAGACAAGAGAGAAAGTCTGGAGAAGGGAAGATTTACCCATGGCCAGGGAGCCTGGGATTAGAGATCATTTAGGCCACCTTGACACCCTCAAATCTTTGAGTTCCAAAGAGGGGCAACCACAAGTGCTGGCAGAGCTGGGAAGTGTTACTGGTAGGCCAATCTCCATCATCTTTGAAAGGTCATGGAGAACAGGAAAGGTGCTTGAAGACTGGAAGAAAGCTGGTGTCGCTCCAGTCTTCAAAAGAGCAAGGAGGAGGGACCCAGACAACTACAGGCCAGTCAACCTCGCCTCCRTCCCTGGAAAGGTGATGGAATAGCTCATTCTGGATATCATCTCTAAGAATGCAGAGGAGGAGAAGGTGATCAGGAATATTCAGCATGAGTTTACTAAGGAGAAATCATGCAATGACCTTCTGTGGTGGAATGACTGTCTGGGTAGATGAGGGGAATGCAGCAGATAGTGTCTGCATTGACTTCAGCAAGGCTTTTGACACTGTCTCCCATTACATCTTCATAGGCAAGCTTGGAAAGCAAAGAGGGATCCTGGGCTGCATTAGGAAGAGAACTGCCAGCAGATGAAGGGAGATGGTCCTCCCCATCTGCTCAGCCCTGGGGAGGCCCCATCTGGAGTGCTGTGTCCAGTGCTRCGCTTACCAGTAGAAGACAGATAAGGAGCTACTGGAGAGAGTTCAATGTGGGGCTACAAAGATAAGGGGACTGGAGCATCTCTGCTATGAGGAGAGGCTGAGACTGGGCCTATTGAGGCTGGGGAAGGGAAGGCTGAGGGGATCTTATCCGTGTGTGAAGATACCTTAATGGAGGGTCTCAAGAGGATAGGGACAGACACCTCTTGGTGACGGTCAGCGTCAGGACAAGAGGCAGTGGGCACAAAGTGAAACACAAGAATTTCCTCCTGAATCTGAGGGAAAACTTCTTTCCTGTGAGAATCCTAGAGCACTGGAACAGGTTGCCCAAAGAGGTGGTGGAGTCTCCTTCTCTGGAGCCATTCAGAACGTGCCTGGGTGTGATCCTTTGCAGCATGCTCTAGGTGATCCAGCTTGCGCAGGGGGTTGGRCTAGATGATCTCCAGAGATCCCTGCTGACCTCAACCATTCTCTGATTCTGTAATTGTAAGTCTGTTTTGCTCTTTTGTATTAGAAACAAGAGCAAGGCTGTTTCATTACAATTGTTTAAAACAGAGTCTTTTATTTTGTTGTCCTCCTCCTCCTTTTGGCCTTATAAGAAAAGGATTGATGTGTACTGTGATCATGGAGAGAAACTCGAAATGCATGGAGCCTAATTCTGTTCCTTATGGGAAATTTAGAAGCTTGGACAAATTGTGTAATTTCTTTCCTGCCTATGAAATTAGGATAATACACAGATGTCACATCAATTCATACAGTAAAGATGAATTAGTTGATTTCTTATCACTGTAAGGGTAGCCTAGTACAATCACAGGAAGTTCTTGTGCTTAAATCTATTTCCTGCTCTTTATTTTCTTTAAGGTATGTTTCGACTGTGGAGCGAAAAACCCTAGCTGGGCAAGCATAACGTATGGAGTTTTCCTCTGTATTGATTGTTCAGGGACCCATCGATCACTTGGTGTTCATCTGAGTTTCATTCGGTAAGTAAATTGGTAAAATGGTAAGATTTTTAATACAGCCTTTAATACTGTGGTGTTATTGTTGTGGAAAACACATTCTTTTACTAACTACCAATTCAGACTCTTTAAAAAGTTTGCATCAGCTGTGGTTTATTCGATAGCGGCTTCAGAGTTGGGTAGATAGGTGAGGTTCAGTAATTTGTGCCCTGCACAGTGAATGGTGAAAATGAAGAACTGAGTAAGGRTGGTGTTGGAGTCTTTTATATATTATTTTTCCCCAATCAAATCTGCAGCACATGAACTGTTAAAATATATTGGTGTTAATGGTAAACCCTAGACCAAACAGTATAGAGAGCCAAATTACCTTTTGACACTTTTTCTCCCTGCAGTAGCTCACAGTAATGTCCACCAGAGTGCTAGTACTGGGCTAGAGGGAGGGATCAGGTGTGAAAGGCCCCCTCTGAGGTGTTGCCCCCTCTGAGGGCAACATTCAGGTTTTCTCAGTTGTAGTTCAAAGCTGCAGCCTGAGCTTCTSGCATTTCAGGTGAGTGTCCTGATGCATGGTCTGTAGTGTATGTCTCTCTTTGGCCTAATGACATATTTGAAATTGAAGGTTGGTTAAAGTAATGAGGAGCACTGCATGTAAGAATGACTTGCACATAAGAGCAGCCAATGTTCATCAGCTAAATCAATAGTCTTCCTCTGCTGCCTTTTCACTGTGTGCAGGAGGGTTACAAGAGGACTCTTAAGAATCCATCCTTGATGATCACAATATTAATGTGCTTGACATTCACTGGGTCCCGAATTTTTGGTGTGATATGGTGCATGAATAGTCACATTGGTGTCTATTCATATGATTATATGTGATTCTTTTGCTCTCTACAAGGAATTCAGTTACGATTCCCCAAAATATATTTCAATGGTGTTTTTTAAAGGGAAAAATCTATTCTTCAAAGGGTAAATTTTCTCACACTTTTGTATATGCATGGCTTTATTAAATTTRTTCTACACCATGTGTGTTGTTAGGGTTCTGTTCTTTTTAGTCATATGTATTTTTCACTGTACAAAAAAAGTGATGAGGTGGGAAAAAAAGAAAGGGARGGAGAGAAACTTCAAATGGCTTTTGAGGTAACATTATTTGCATCTGCTTAGATCTACAGAACTGGATTCTAATTGGTCATGGTTTCAACTGAGATGCATGCAAGTTGGAGGAAATGCAAATGCTGTAAGTACCTCCTAGGAATTATATTCTTCTCCTAGGCAATTGCTTTGCACATAGAAGCTTGTTAGACTTAGAGGCTATTGTTTGTTCTTACTGACTTACATTCTGGGATATTTTTATTTTCCCAGACCAATTGTTGCTCTTTCTTTCACCCTTCTTTCCCCAAATGTTTTTTTCCCCCTGTTTTTCTCCAAGATTCTTACAACTTTTCCATCTTGGTATAACGTGCATCTACTTTTTTGTTGTTGCTGTCTGAAGAAAAAAAAAAAGCAAAACAAAAAAGTCATAATAAAATCATTGAAAAGACTGCACCAGGTCCCTACTATTCAATATGAGTCCAATTTAACAGTGAAACAGTATTAACTACTGATGGCTGGTTTTCTAGCTCTTCYAGCCTAGAGAAAACAAGCTTTTCTCAAGAAATATTTCTTCACTTGCCATGTGAAAATGTGCAAAGAATGTCAAATCACTGCCAAAAGTGTTGCTCAAGTTCAGATATGACCAATACCTGCTGGTATAATTGAAGTCAACATAGGACAGGCAGCCCTGTCAGAGACAGGAAATAGCAGATAAAATAGCAGGAAAAAACAGTTTGGGTTTTGGCAAGTGTATGTTGGTTATTACTTAGTATTTTTTTTTAATTGTTCTGCCTTTTTTTTTTTTTTTTTTGGTAATTTGAAGTCAGATTGACTTCTGCATTGTTCCCAACCTCCTTTTCAAAAGAGAATGTTTTCCTTTGTCAACTTTTCTGGAATCTTGCCTCTTTTCTCATCATTTTGTTGAAGGTGATTGCTGATAAAAGATTACTTCCTTAAGTAGACCCACCCAATTTGGAAGCGTGCAACTTCCTTAAGCCATTCTTACTATGCTAATAGACCCATAACTTTTTTGTTTATGTGTGCTTTGTCCTTAATATTGTTTCCTTGAAATAAGCTTCCAGTGCTTTTTTTTTCTTTTGTGTTTCTCCCCCAAGCCAAACTGGCCCCCCCTCTATGGTTTTGCTTAGCAATTTTGAACTTACCTTTTCAACCATCCTCATGCGTTTTTTTGTTTGTTTGTTTTATTTTTCTCTCCCTCCATACAAAGAATTGCTACTTCAGTATCAGTATTATTCAAGAATCATCTGCATTTTTTGGTTAAACGTTTTTGCTTTAACTAGCATTCAGTAGATCAGTCTCCCTGATTTAATGATCCTGATACCTTCTTGAGAAATGGTGATGTCTTTTCTCCATTTCTTTCTTGCAGTCTCTTTTAATTTATACTTTTCATTYCAATACTGTTCTTATATGAATTATCTCATTTAATTTCTCTTGTGCTACTTAGTCAAAACTTTTTTTTTGTAGTAATCATCAGAGATATTGCATGAGAAAAATCTTTCTTTCTAGCTAAAGGTTTTAAGGCAGTCAGAAGGAAAAGATGGCAAAGTTTGAAAAGTTCTTTAATTATTTCAGGAAGATGATTCCCAAAATAACAAGTTTTAAGAATCTTGATGTTACCTCAAAGCAGCAGTATTTGACTATGTTTTAAGCARCAATAAATCTAAATTATTTAATTTTGCCTCTTTTGGTTGTTGCTGTTCCCTACGACATGTTGCCCCAAAAGGTCTAAGAGTTAATATGTGTACACAAAGTCATAATGAGTGGTTTGGGATATACATGCATGGGTGTGTGTATACACATTTTATGGAAAACCTATATCCAGTTATTCAAGTATTATTGAACATGCATTTCTCTCTTTAGCATGTCGGAAATGAAGTGAGACAGTGCATTTTAGAGCATCAGTAATGTCCTCTCTAGCACAAGAACTGGGAATCAATGACCTCTTTCTTTCTACAGCTCGTTTTAGAACTTGGTTCTCTGTGTACAAGCTATTGTATGTTTTTACAAGCTGTTGTTTGTTTTTAAAAAATTGCTAATGTGGTTAGTTTTTTTATTATTATTATTWATTTATACACCAGTCAGATTTATACAAGGGTCAGAGTTATTTTGCTTCAGTGAAGCTATCACTTCAAATTCTTTTGTCCTAAATGTATTAATTTTTAAACCCGTTTCTCATAACATTTTCTATGTTCTTCCCCATAGTCTGCTTTTTTCCATCAACACGGGTGCACTACAAATGACACCAATGCAAAATATAACAGCCGCGGTGCTCAGCTTTACAAGGAAAAGATTAAATCCCTTGCAACACAAGCAACCAGAAAGCATGGTACCGATGTGAGTAAAGTGCATTCTAGGTCATTCTGATTTCTGAAGAACTTTCTGCTCTCCAGAGTTATTCTGAGTTTGTAATTAGTGATGCCAAAGGTTGCCTTTTACCTTGGAACACATTGCAATGAATAGGTAAAGCTGGGAGGAAACTGATTGCAGCTTATCTTTCCTGTTTGGCAGAATAATGATGTCAGCCCAACCTGACATTGCAGCTCACTTCTGGGTTGCACAGAACTCAGTAATTATAACACTTGCAGTAACTGCTATGAGTTTCTCTAGAAAGAAACTTCRGAATTTCTTTAAAAAACGAAATATTTTGTTCCACACGTGTGCTGCAGGGTTCTGTTAGTGTTGTCTGTCTAAATGAAATGCTGTACTTCCCTATGGTAGTACTTCCCTGTAAACTATATAGTGTATTTTAGCCTTTTTGGAAATGAGTTACTGTTTGAGAATTATAGCATGTAAAAAAGAAAAAAAAAAACCTAATAGAATTAAAAACAAAATATGAGATTTAAATGGGATTTTGATCCGAACAGTTCTTTTGTTGTTTTTACAAAAATATATTTGAAAAATTAGCAAGATCAGTTATGCCGTAAACTTGCTGTTTTTCATTAAAAATGTTGAAACAGTTCATGCATGCTGTCAAAACCTTGAAGAGAGTTAGGTCACTGACAGTTATATGAGCCAGAGTATGTGGAATTAGAGTTTGCTGAGGTGTTAAATATGAGTTGGACAACTCTTCTGTGTCTGGAAAAAGAATGTTCTGGCTGCTTAATTCAACTTGCTCAAGTCCGTGACTAATTTATTTCAAGCTGAAAAACTGAGTAGGAATTTTAAAAACAAGCTTTTTTTGCTTTTCCTAATACGTGTGTCGCATAGGGAYATGAAATTTAATAGATTACAATGTTGTAAATGTTACAGATAAAATGGTTCACGTTGCTAACTGCAGAGAATGTTTCTTGTGAGTAATTAAACAACCTTAGATGTAAAACATGTTCATAAACTTATAATATTCCATATATATTTGAATATTTTTGTTTTAAATATTAGCTCCCTAAAATATTTTGAAGAATCATGACTGTCTTATTTCAACTACAGATTCTATGCAAATATAGCTTGATATAAATCATATTTATTAAAATTTTTGAAATAAGACGTATGTGGTTTTAAGTTGTATACTACAAGCTTAAGTGATTATGTGCTATTGGAATTGCTCTTGTAAATTACTCAGAGATGCTTTTTTTAATMATTAATTCTAGTACCAATCTCACCTCACTCATGTTGGGAAAAAATACATATATTTTCTTAAGTTAACTGTTTCATTTGGCTGCCTAATAATGAAATAAGGTTCATTCATGACATGATCATTAACCTTTTTGAAAGAGGTGACTCTCCTTGGCATCCTTTGAAAGAAGTTACTGGTTTTGCTTGTGCATTCTTTGCCCTCAGTACAGATATAATGATTGATCTTAGACTGAAGATCACAGGTGAAGTTCTGGCCTGCAGGATTCTATCAGTAACTTTCAGCATTTTGAGTCTTTTAGCCTTTGAAAACACATATAGCTTAAATTTGTTAGCATCTTACAGAACTATGCTTTAAGTGTGGACTCCGAGACAAGGTGGGAAGATGAAGCAGTGCCAAGCCATTCTGAGACAGTTAAGAAAGCTGTTTCCAAAATACTGCTAGTATAGTTGTTTTGTTTCGTACAAAATAAACTTTTTAGAGAAAAACCCTTACATGTGAATATGAAGAACTTGCTTATTTCAAAATTCCACCAGTGAATGTTTTACTGCAGCATCATTTTGCTGAGTGTTTTACCAGAAAAGAAATGGGTAATGTAAAGGAAAACATCACAGATGAAAAGAAACACGATTATTCAAGCTCAAATATATTTCTAGAGAGAAAAATACCAGAAAAATCAATACATGCTGGAGAAAAATAAGAAGTTTTGAGATTAATGAATTTTAAATTATACAATTATCCTGTAATTAGTTGTTRTTATTTTTAATTCTAGCTGTGGACAGATGGATGTGGAATGCCACCTGTGTCACCTCAACACAAAGAGGAAGATTTCTTTGCATCCCAGGTTTCTCCCAAGGTACAGATTGCCTGTATTAAATTCTTAGTGTTTTCRTAGCTTGTGCACTGTGATGGAGGTTAAACACTAAAAGAAAACTTTAAAGAGAAAGCATAGGTCAGTGAGGTAACACTTATCTGCTTTTCCTTCAGTGGATTTCARAATTCTTCCTGCATATGAATCAGTTTATAAGATGATCGTTTAGAATGACCCAAATTGCATCTGCAAGTGAAATAAAACGGTGCTTTTCTTAGAGTTACACTACCTCTTTGACCCATGATTGCTGACTTGAGGGTGCATTGATTTAAATTTACTGGAAAATAAGCGTGGGTTTCAATCAATGAAGTTTAGGAGGTCTTAAATCATTTATTAAGCCTTTTCTTTCTCCAAAACATTTGCATCTTTTAAAAGCCAAAGTARCATTCTGAAGGTTGTTGCAACTCCTGGTTCTGATGATTTATTTGATCCCACTTCTGCGCCAATGTCTTGTAATGATGGATGTTATGTTTATTTCAGGAATTAGATTTCTGGAGACTCAGAATATCTGTAGTGAAAGCAGCTTAAGCAATTGTGATCTTAGACTTGGAGCAATTAAGTTATGACTACATCTAGTATTTCTAAAAAGCTGAAACAATACTGCAAATTCTAGTCTAAATGCTTTCTAATATAGTTGCAGTCTGTGGACATCTAAATGCAAGTGTCATCACGAGGCATATTTTGGGGTAAAGACGATTTCGGAGCTTGGGTGTAATTCTGATTTTAGTTTTTGCTGTGAGACCTCTTTACCAGTTTATATCCATTATCCATTTTCCTCTCATAATAGTACTGTTGTTTGTGTACATCAGTAGCAAAGAATAAAAGCCTATGAAAGCTGCTTGTATCTTAATCTCTGTGAATACAGGAAAAGTGGCATGAATTTTTAATAATCAGATGTAAGTGAGACTTTTAAGGAGAGAAATATCAATGGCAATTTAAATGAAAAGTGAGGGTTTTTTTTCTCCTTTTTCAATTGCGGTATTTTAAAATGTCAGCTTTTTGTTATATTTGTAAGGTTTCAAAAGGGGAAATTCAGCTCTTTTTTTGGGGGGAGGTATTTTTTTGCTTCTCTTACTGCCAAAATTTGACTTGGAGAAATACCTTTCATCATCTGAAATGGAGGAAGAGTATTTCCATTTTACAGATTGGAAAGGTTTACTGCACAGAGAAGGTTTACTGTGCTTGTGCCACAGCATAGTAACACAATTACTGTGAATTCAAATGCTTTGCCTTTGTCAGGGAATCATCTGCCCTGATAGTGGAAAGATAAATGGAATATTTTGGACTGCAAAAGGCAACACGTTAGAATGCTTGAAAGTGAGGGAAGGGAAAACACGAAAGAAAACTGAGACAAGCTAGAGAGAAAGTACTTTAGAGAAATGTTGTAAATGTTTTTGTGGCCTGAAGGAGAAGTAGAAACTCGATACAAAGCCTCATAAAAGAATTTATTTATTTTTACCCATAAATTATCTTATTTAATTTTTAAATTTCCCCAGCAAACGTTTTGGCTAGCCTTGAAGGAAGGGGGTTAAAGGCCAAATGGTCTGCATAGCTTGGAGCAAGAGATTGTCTGTGTGTGAGTGATGTTTTGAGACAGAGGTCCTAAGCGGGGACAAGCAGAAACTGCTAGGGACCCAGTGTTGGTGGGAAGGATGATCCCAGCCTGATGCTTTTGAGACCAGATTGGAAGCCTGGCTGCTCAGTAGGATGTGTCTGAGGAAGGGGGGAGGACTCCTCAGGTAGACAACACAGCATCAAAAATTAAGTGTTATCAAATAGCGGCTAGTGTGGGGAAAAGGTTGGTATTATATGTAAATAAATGATCCAGACTTTCTCTACTATATTGCTGTTATAGGTTAAAAGAAAAATTGCGGTAAATAAATCTAAAATATTTCACTGTTACAACACTATTCATATTTATATTTTGTATGCCCTTTGATTTTTTTTTTCTTCTCCTCAAGGCAAAGAACACAGAATGGGGATCATCAGAACCAATTTCTTTGAAGCAGAAAACTTCAGAAAATGTTTCAGAATGCCATGAAGGTATGTTGATTCTTCGTCAGTAAGCTGTATTTTCTGATAGTCTGGTTATATTTACTCGACTTCAGCAGTTAAAGAATGTAACCATAATAACKTTATTTAAGAATTTTGGGGAGGAAAGAATTCCTAGAATTATGCTAGGAAGTGGAGGAATAAGTGCTCTGTAAATTATGTTTAATAAGAAATCCAAATTAAAGTGCGAGTTGGAAGGTTTCAAGTGAATCTTTGGATGTCTGCTGCTTTGTTAGGAGCTGATAAGATTATGACAGAAGCAATATATTGTAATATCTCCATCAAAACAGATTTGGGGGATGAAGAATTGTGTTTTCATGTTTTAAGTATTCTAATGAGCCTTCTATTACTTCTGCTGTTGTTGTTTATTACGTTTTTAGGTGGCCCAGAGCATGGACCAAGTGTCGATTGCCTTAGTGCATCGCCAAAGGCTACGTTAGGTAACGAGGGTAAGCAGCAGGAGARAGCAGCCAGTACTGCATGCCTAAGTATTCACTGTTGCAGAGAATGTTTGACTGGGATGAGGTGGGAAAATCCTACTTTCATACTGATATCCATGAAACAAATGAAATTGTGCTTTAATTTTTTCTGTTAATGTATTCCATCTAAGAAATTAATTTTGCTGTGTTGTTTTTCTCCCTTTTGTTTTACGTGACTCAATGAATTCATATGCTGCAGGCATCACATGTAATAAAGGTGACCATTAATATTTTACACCTCCTGTTAGGCTGCTTGAGATTCTACATTTGAAGAACACAGGTGGAGTAGAGCATTGTGCTGGGTGTAACAGCCTGCTATGTACTTTAAACAAATACACCTTCTATTAATAGAGCTGTTTGTCTATCTAGAAGTAGCATATAATTTAAACATATTTAAACACATTTAATTAAAAATATAATTTAAACTAGAGAAAAATACAAGTCTTCAGCATCTAGAATCTTAATTTAAATAACATTGAAGAGTGAATCATGCTGTAGATAGGAAACATTTGAAGAAAATAAAGTGAAATGTAATAAAATACATAGATGAATCATCTTTATATGAATCATCGTGGTGTTAGTAAAGAAGTCGTCACTGGGTCTAGCCCAGTATTTCAAGAAGGCCTGGTTTGCATTAGTGTTTTTATAGTCACTGTTTCTATGAGYTGGACACTAGGGTATAGAAAAAATACTATTATTCACATACACTACACAATTTGCTCATTTATATCTGTAACACGTWACCATAAAACAAGTGCTTTATTTGTCACTGACATTAAAAGCTTCTATTTTATGCCAAGAATCTCCGTTCTGTATGACTATTTCATCTGTTTCAGACTAAATTTCATCTTAAATTTCATCACTTTTTGTATGTGCAAGCATTTAGTAGCTGTTGGGTGTTGAAAATTTGCTTGTGGGAGATTTACAGRCTAGCTCAATGTAGCTGTCAATAAGGGGCATTGCAGTCTTCCTGCAGGGAGTCCTATCAGGGTCTTATAGAAAACATATGTAAAAAAGTATGCATGAATCTTCCTTGTTCGTGATAGAAGATTGAATACAAAGCATCACAGCCGAAATTTTCAAATCTTGTGGTAAATTAGGCTCCTAATACTAGGTAGTTGAACAAAACCTGCTAGTTATTTAATGATACGGAATGTTATTACCTCTGATAACTGTCATGATTTTTGGTGCAGGTGCCTCTACCTGTATCAGCCCTACTTTTATGCATGGTCAGTACCTTTCTATCAAGGATACAATTTATCTTGAAAAAAATATTATATTTAATAGACCTGTGATCTGATTTAGACTCATAAATCCTGATCTGTCTACTAGTAGATATCCAGAAGTGAAAATTGAACCCTAATGAATTTCTTAGAGATGTTTGCAAGATATGCCATATACTGTATCTGGGACTCTTTCCCACCTTTTCTTGGTACTGTTCACAGTCCTCTTTCCTGAAACTGTTTAGTTTTAAATCTCTTCATGTAGAAATAATAATACTTTTAGGGATTGAAATACATAAAGCCCTACGTCTTGTGGCTGATATTGTGGAAATAAGCTTCAGAAGTTCTGGTATTAATAAAACTGTATCTCAAGTAATGTGTGTTTAATCTTTGCAGAGAACACCTCCTTCATAAAAAAGAAGCCAAATCAAGTTAAAAAGGGGGTAAGTGTATATAATATGCAAATATATGCAAAAATGCATAGTTTTGCCTGTATTGTAGATCTCTGGAAATATGTGGATTAGAGTGTGGAAGTACATCATGTAAATTAAAAATACTAAAGAGCACTTTTATTGGTAACAGTGTATGGACACAACAGTGGAATAGATCCTCTACAAAGTGACTTATTGCTAGAATGAATTTTCTAACAGTCTATTGCTACTAGGTAGTAGAGTGCTTGAAGATATATGGGCTGTTTTCTGACCTCAGTTAAATTATGAATCTATATATATGTATGCAGCTCACCAGACTGTCTTAACTTTCACATGTGCATCTGAGCATCGTTTTATTTATGGGTTGTCTGGATCTGAACAGCCAGCAATATCTTTTAAAAATGAGGGAAATAAAAATGTCAGAATGTRTTCTGAAGTCAACGTTTGTATCACAGTTTTGTGCAGCTCTATTTACAACCAGTGTCTCTGCACCTCGACCTGATGCATTGTAACTCTTCTTGCTTAACAGACACGGGCTGCCATTTGGTAGTAGAGCTTCAGTCTTGCATGCTTGCCTAAGATGGTTGGCATTGATATATTTCTATAGCAAGGCCTGAAAACAGGGAGTTACAATAGTTCTTAATATAATATAAACATAATGCAATATGTATATGAATGCATAATATAATGTAAATATGTCTATGTGGCATAGTCTCTGAGAAAAGGCATTTCCACCCAGTCTTTGAAGAATGCTCAGAGCAAAACTGCAGGAAAGATAAGTGCATCTCCTTTTTGAAAAGAGTTCAGTGCAGTCATTTCCAACTGTTTTTATGATCTGCAAAGATAGCAGTTAATTGGAGGTTCAGACCTCTGTATGGGTCTGCATACATRTATGTAATTGCATACATGGTATGTATCTCATGGAGAACTTCTCTTTCTTCTTGCACACCCCCCCTTGTATACACGAACTGTTCCACAGATGCATTACTAGCCTGTGTGCCACAGAATGACTTCCACTGACTTGCACAGAATATTTCCAAGGTTGAGTGCATTCTTTGGTCTCATTTTACTATACATCTTCTGAATCCAGAGAAACTTCCCCTAATGGCAATGATTTTCAAGTTCTGTTGGAGCRGAAGATAGATTTGGGCTGAAGTCCATTAATCCTTGCTCCCACTAGAGGGCCCTCCTATGCAAAAAGCATTTCTGACCTATTCTGAAAGGTTTAGGTAGCATCCCCTTAAGGGATATATTCCCTTAAGCTCAGGAGCACTGGAGTGGGTTCAACGTTGCATGTACAGTTTGCACTATAGTATCAAGCCTGCCTGTTCTGTTCTCTATGCACAGAGACCAGAGCTTAAATGAAGACTTTAAAGTGGGTTAAGGTGAATGTGATATGGAAATAAATATTGCTGTAGTGTTCCAGGTCMAGAATAAACACGGGAAACTGAGACGAGTACTGTGCCACGTGTGATAGAACCCACTGTATCTCATCATACTTATAATCCGTAGGCTTTTTTTGTTTGTTAGTTTTACTCAGTGATAACCAGAGTAAAAGCATGTATTTTCTCCCGTTGAAGTAATAGGAGATAGAAATAGAAYTACTTGCAAAGAATCTCTGCAAAGCAGTAACCTGTTAACATTTATTAAAACTTCAGATGTGTCTCTTAATCATAAGAACCGGTAACGCTGGCTAATGAGGACATTTTCCATATTTRAGTTGCAAATTAAGCACCAAGAGGTTCACTTGGAACAAATCTTCATGGCCGTTTGTCTTCCAGAGCAACATACAGTATTTGCAGTTGCTTTCAAATTTGATCATTAAGCCAGCTGAAGTGATTGTCTCAGTTATAATGTTTGGATTTTGTGTCTGTTTTTAATACATCAAGCTTGGTGCCAAAAAAGGTGGCTTGGGGGCACAGAAAGTGAGCAGCCAAAGCTTTAATGAGATGGAAAAGCAAGCACAAGCTGTAGATAAAATGAAGGAGCATGAGGATCTTCACATCGGTAAGAAAACTGAGAAGGAAGAACCACTGTAAGTATGAATTATGTGAATTGTGTACCATRTAAAACATGCTCCATGATTTGATAGGCAGATTAAACTTCAGTTATTGCTTAAATAAGAGTCCTGAAATATGGCTGAAGTGGGCCAAAAAGTACCTGCTGAATTTGCTTTTTTAAGTATAGACTTAATATTTTCTCTTGAAGTAGCCAAGTGCAGTCTTAAAATACAACCAATCAAAAAAGCTCAGTGTTACTAGTATTGTTTTTATATAAACTGAGAATAATGAGGTGTTTTACTAATAAATGTAAATGGAGTGGAATAAAGTGTAAGTACATGTTAAGTATTAGCACAAAGACTTTGCTCCTTGAGTTTTCTCTTCTTTTTTTTTTTTTTTTTTTTTTTTAACTGTAGTTACCTAAATACTTTCTTATCAACCTTCTTATTAGCAAGGTTTTCATTTTCCTTTTTTTTTTTTTTTTTTTTTTTTTTTTTTTTTTTTAACTGTAGTGACCTAAATACTATCTAAACAGCCTTCTTAATAGCAAGGGGAGCATAGTCCAATATGTACAAACGAAAATATTTCTAAGAGCTTCTTTACTGAAGACAATAATTTAAGTATTGCTGGATATTGCTTCTGTAAGTTTCCAATGATTTATACCGGAAATAGCTTTGTTTTCACAAAAAAACTTTGAATATTTTTATCTAAGGCCTTCTGTCTGCTTGTTCGTCTTCCCATTGGTCCATCATCCCTAAAGCTAAGGGAGCACAGTTGGGTAATTCTTTCCTTTAGTTTCTTCCAGTAGGTGTTTTTGATTTCTAATGTTGTAGTAGTTGTCATCAAAATGAGTCTAGTGAAGAAATGGCTGGTGTAAACCTCTGCTTTAGTAACGTTAAAGTCCTCTGTATGTGCTGAGACACATCACCTTTATAACCTACTGAGAAACTTTCTGAATTAGGGAGCAATTACAGAATCACTTGGGGCTTGTGCTACCAAGTTCTTTGGCCAATAATCTAGTCTCTGTTCATTTTGCTCACACTGTCTGTGCAGAAATAGATGTTTTGTRTACCCCAAAAATGTTAATCATAGGAGAATCGTTCATTTTCCTTGGGCATTTGTACCACAAAGCCTTACCTTTGTACCACAAAGCCTTCTGTACCACAAAGCCTTCTTAGTGACTGCTGAAAACATACCAATGAGCTGAATAGGAAGGACATAGTATGAAATAAAAAGAATAAGCTGCTCCTTGTCAGTTGCCATTCTTTTAAAATGGATTCTGCTTTTGGGTGAGAAATGTTTGTGTCAGCCCACAGCTTATGGGTCCAAGGCAACCTCTTGTAGAGTGTGACCTGGTATGTCGGCAGTGCAGTCCCTAGTGCAGTCGTACTGGGCTTCAGGTCAGTGTGTGACACGGGTGGCTCCAGGGGCCAGAGCCCTCCAGACAAGGCTGCAGGGTGAGGGACTGCGAATGACAGCTCTGATCCCACTACAGGCAAGATAAATGATTTTGCTTACAGATAAACATCTTGGGGTTTTACCTGTAGATGGCAGTATATACCTAAACTAGAGCAGGGTGAATACTTTTAAAATGATATTAGCTTCCAGGTAATTTAGATGTTGGCTTTTGAAATTTGAAAAGCTGAAATAATTAGTTTTAATGAATTAATTCAGTGTGATTTTTGCATTATGGCTGGAATTGAAATGGTGCTTTGTACTTAGAAGAAAAACAATACTGAGACTTTACATTTAAAATGTAAAGTTTCTTCATTTTCTACTGTGCACTGACAAGAGAATAGACAATTAGAGCTGCTCTAAAAAAATATCTTATAACAAGTAAAGTGTCAGCTAGTAAGAATATCTTGATGTTGATAAAATAACTTTCATAAACTAAGCTTGTTATCTTTCTCCTTAAAGTCCTGGGTATATTTTTTTCTGTAGCAGTTTCAAGTTGACTCTTCAGTCACCGTTTTCAATTTGGCATGTAAAATCAATCCTAAAAAGTTTTAAAAAAAGATGGAAAAACTTCCCTGGAAGCATTYGGTGTTTTGAAGATTAGCTTTTCTGATTTTATTGTTTTCAAAAATGATTAAACAGGTAGATCCTACCTTGAATTTCACTGTTTTTATTGTAAGCATCTGAACATAAGACTTGGTGGATTCAAGGATCCAAGTCTGTAGGTGTTACTGAAAGGATACGTGAGCGTCCACATGTGATGAAGATCACTCCCTTTTATTTTTGCCRTCCTGTGGAAGATGAGATGGGCCCACTTCATATGGTAGGTTAGTGACTGCATCTCTTGCTTGGGAAGTAAGAAAACTAATTTCTGTGCCCTTCTCATTCTGAAGGGTCCAATCACACAACTTTTGTTTCCCGTCAGAGTGCATTAGGTAGGAACATCTAATCTTTGTGGTAGAGGGATATCTTGTCCTCATGTTTAAAACTAAGTTTGCATTCAAGCCAGTTTTAATAAACAATTGGATTGGACATATGGTGGAAAAAAAGTTGTTTTCATCTCTACTTCTGCATGAAATGATTGGAAAATTACAATGAAAATGTGTGTTGACAGACAACAGCAGTCATCTACTTCAGGCAGGAAGTCTCCCAGCAGCATCCTAAATCTCCTTTACATTCTTGTCTGCTAACAGTCATTTCTGTTTTATGCCAGTCGCAACTGAAGCAGTAAACACTGCTACATTCCACATTGAAATAACTATTTGTATTCCTTTTAACCTAATAGAYGTGATTAAGTAATGTTTTTTATAATTCTGTAATCAAGATTAAAAAGCTATTTTATCCCTGTGAAAAGTACTGCTGAAATATCATTTTCATGAAATAATTATGAAAAGAGTTTTTTGAGATCTAGGGAAGTCCACAGCATCTCAGAAAGACATTACATGAATTATAGGGCAGTTTGAGATGACAAAATGTGTTGCCAACTATGCAGAAAACCCTATTTGTGAATGCTTCAAGGGTTCCTTTACTGAGAATATATTCCCTTTTGGGAATACAAAGGTTCCCTTCTCTCCTCAGATACTTTGTGGGGATGGGGAGGAGCATCGTCAGTGAGGAGGAAGGTCCAGCCTAGCTTTAGCACTTGCCTCTTAAGAGATATATAAGATATGTATAACCTAAGCAAGAGATATATAAAAGGTATATATAAAAATGTCTTCTAGAAGGCTGAAAGGAGGTAGTAGAGGGAAGGAGAGAGCAAAAGGTACAGCCAGGCATAGTTGGGGAACACGTTACTGGTGGTGTATTCTGAATGCTGAGGTACTGCAGTATATTGTGACTGGATATTTCTGATAATTCTTTGGTATTAAAGGCACTTAAGATTRCAAAAACGAAGAAAGCTCCTTCAAGTTGACTTGATGATGATGCAAAACTGTATCATGAATTACAGTGCAGTTCTGTGGTACAAATACAGTACAAGTGTTAGCACTTCAGTATTTCACATTCAACTTGAAAAAGACTCTGGGCATAAACAGACCCAGATACTCTTTAAGCTGTCTTCTCTCTTGTCCTTCTCCCATTGTTATAGTCAGGATTCATTCCWGTTAATAATGCTTTCAGTAAACACAGAAAATATATTTTTTTAACCTCAAATTTTCTGTTGGTGGCTTTCTACCAATATTATGAGATTGGCATAACGTTTAGCATTTTGCAGTTACACATTAGCTGTATGTTTTGTTTCAGTGTGTCATCTTTAAGATTGGCCTACAGAGATCTTGATATTAAAACAAAAGATGAAAAGTTAAATCTCTCCGATAAGAAGAAAAGTGAATTAGAGAGACTTGGAATCGGATTTGGTAGCAACAGAAGGTATGTGAAGTTCTGTAAATTGTCTTAAATATGTTCTATATAGTTTTAGTACAGTTACTCTTGAATTCACTTATTAAATGGTATGGAAACTTAAGCTATGAAAGCATCTAGTATTTGTCAGGGGAAGGAGTAAGGTTGTTGTGATGGATTTAAAAGTCTTACCCTCCCAGTCAGACAGTAACTTAAACTATGAATTGTTTTTTGGGGTTTCTGCCCCAATTAGCTGAGGAGGAGGAGAACGGCAGCAACATTTTCAGTGAATAAYACAACCCAAACAATAGTGTATCGATTAAAAGCTAAGACTTTGAAAAATCACTTCACTGTGTTTTACAACTGCTGAAGTGGTTTCAGAAGTGCATTCAAAAACCTTGTGACTGCTTCAGAGAACAACAGATAATTTTTTTCCAGGAGAAACTAGATTTGGGGGATTAGTCTTTTAGCTTAAGAATTTTTCATCTCTTTATTTTCTTTCTGTTTCCTAGCGGCATTTCCCACTCAGTCATTTCAGATATGCAGACAATAGAACAGGAATCGCCTACGATTGCAAAACCAAAGAAAAAGTACTCAGATGATGCAGAAGACTCATATTTTTCTTCTAGTTCAAGGTAACATAACAGCTTTTTGTTTGAGTTGCATGGAAGCATGCACAGGGTATATCCTCAAATACGCACAATACGCTTGAAACATATGATCAAAAATGACAGCCACACAGGTCTGTTTACCTGTTATGGTTTCAGGGAACATGATCTAAATCAGAAAAGTTGTAAAGTAGTCTTCTGTATATCACTGGTAAGTGCATGTAGAAGGAAGATGAGATATTTTCTTCTAAGAGGAAGGTGGTCTGCATTTTGTCTTGTTTATGAGTTTTGTCTTGTTCAGGTCTGATACATGTCTAGTCTTTGGTTCTTTGCAAAGACATTATACTTTATGCCTTTGGCATTGAACTTTTAATTTGCCATATCTTGAATCCASTGATTTGGTCTGCTGCCTTTGTTTCTTGTGGTACCATATTCTGCTATGTTTAATGCAGTGTGTATCAGTGTGCACTGACACCTGTCAAATGCAAGAAGTCTTATCTTTTTGCCATATTGTGCGTCAGATGTATTGTATTACACGCCTCCAGCATTTTCACTTTACAGACTTTAAATATTTGAACATAAAGTTTAACTAGTCTTAAAATAATGGAATTATTTTTTGGTCAGTGTACAAACATGGTGTGTATAAAATACCACTGTTGGTAGGGAAGCAAAAAAGAATTAGTCCTGTCAACACTAATCATGATGAAACAGCTGTGTCTGGATTGATGAGAAGAAACAGGTGGTGCTTTTATTAGCTGCTTATATTGGCTTACTGCCAAAAAGCATGAAAAATTGTACCTAGTTACCTGTAGATAGGCAAATAAAAAGACAAGAGCATCAATGCTGTTGCTTTGTAATGTAATCGGCAGCGGCAGAAATGCAAACGTGGTACCAAGCAAATGGGCAGCACTCTTGTAAAATAAAATATGTATCATTTTCGTGCTTCCCTGTTTGTTCCCTGAAAAGAACTCTCATTGCTCCCAAATTATTCATTAGTCCAGTAGCAGGCAAATTATGAATTATGGAAGAGGCTTTTTAAATGTGTTTTAGTTCAGTAATTAGAAGATAAATTGTGATCTAGCAGTTTCTGGCTCTTGTTCTTCTACTGTAGCAACAATAGAACCTAGTTGGATTTAGTATCCAAATCCATCTTCTTTAAAGGAAGCCTAATGTCAGATTGTTGGTCAAGTTTATATTATATGYTCTTTTATTCCAAGCTATGACTGCGAAATAGAGGCAAAGTAGTTTTAGTATCATTTTAGTATTTTGATAGTACAACATTTGATTTTTATTAAGTGCCATTTTTTCCCTGAGTACCTGAGTTTCCCTGAGGAAGTATTTTGCAAAGCTCTGAAACTCTGAGGAGAAAACACGGATCACGAGAAGTAGGACATCTTGTTGACGTCGACTCTTGCAGCTTTCCCCTCTTCCCCGTGGTTGAGATGGCTGCGCTGAGATCAGGTTGTTTTGTGCGTAGCGTGTTTATTCTTATACACCAATCTTGAATTTTTAAAGACTTCTCTGGCTTCCCTAGCTGGACAAGAGTTACATCACCGCATCATAGTTTCCTTGCAGCCCGTATCCTGTGGTTGTGCTCTCTGCTCCGGTAGGAACACAGGCCTTAGAAACTGAAACACCACACTGAAGAAAAAGTAGCCTGGTGGTTGGCAAATGTAGAGAGCCTTGCCATGTTTCTAAGCTGATGTATGCTGAATAAAGAAGCCTGGAATACCAGCTACTTCCTTGTGCTGTAACTGCTGTTTCACAGAATCACAGACTGGTTGAAGTTGGAAGGGACCTCTAGAGATCATCCAGTCCAACCCCCCCGTTCCAGCAGGGACACCCAGAGCACGGGGCACAGGGCGGCATCCAGGCAGGTTTGGAAGATCTCCCGAGAAGGAGACTCCACAGTGTCCCTGGGCAGCCTGTGCCAGGGCTCTGGCACCCTCACAGCAAAGAAGCTCTTCCTCACGTGGAGATGGAACTGCCTGTGTTTCCACTTGCATCCATTTCCCCTTGTCCTGTCACTGGCCACCACCGAGAAAAGTTTGTCCCCATTCTCCCTACATGCTCCCCTCAGGTATTTGTACATATTGATCAGATCTCTCAATCTTCCTAGGAGTTTCTACCTTCCTTTTATTTATTTTATATGTGATACCACACTGAAAACAGCTTAAATTCACAGGAACTGTAAAAGGTTGAAATGCTGTATTAACATGCCCGCAGAAGTGGCTTTCTCTTTCTTTTCAACTTGTCAYTTTTGGTTATTTTCTACATATATATCCAGAATAGGGAGAGACTAGGGAAACCTTTTTCATCAGGAAAACATACCCTCAAGAATCTGCAGGGTGGAAAATGAGCCAGTTGTTGCTGCACTGCATGTTTGAAAATTGTTTCTGCTGACATCTGTTCTGTGAGGTGAGACTGTGACGACCAAGGTACCTGTGCAGCGAGTCTCCCTCACTCGAAGCACTGAATTCCCTTCCCTTTGCCCTTCAGGGGGAAAAAGGAGAGGATTGCTGTGAAAATTCTTCCTAAATTTGTCCTTGATGTTTTATATTCTCAGTGATGGGAGATTACGCTGCTGAAGATGTCACATCTCCCATAAACTGCAAAAGCAGAGTCCTGACTATTTGTAAAATAAATACAGAGAGTTTTTTAAGGTGCTTCTCATAGAGCACAGATGCCTACTTCAATATCCTGGGCTTGTTTCTGTTGAGTGATCACATCCTGGCCTCCTGTTGTTTTGATTGCTGTACTGGCTATCTTAATCATATCAAATCTTTACGGCAGTTTATTTAATCACTAAGGGAAATTCTTCATCTTTGGCTTTTTGCTTAAATCAATTTATGGCATTATTTGTAGTGTTGTCTATGTATATTTAGATAAAAGGGAAACAGTCCAGATAAGATACTACTAGAACTGACAAGCATGCTTCATTTCTTCTTATAAATAGCAATGTATTCCTTGCATTTTGGATATGCAAGAGAAGCAACAGTCATAGCTGTTAAAGCATAAATTAATTTTTAAGAAATGTGATCTTTAACATTGTTTTAATAAAACATGTTACAAAGCCCAGAGATATTTAGTACTAGTTAACAGCGTTAAGCTTAATGAACGATATTAAGACATAATAAACACAGCCAGAGGCAAAGGCTTTGTTTGCAGTTGTGAACCAGGCCTGTTTATGCTGTGGGAAATGGGAGCAGGCTCTTTGCTTCATAACTTGCATATTGACTGCTATGGAACTGGGATAGTAGCTGCTTAGCCAGAAGCCTTGGCCTGTGTGAAGCTCAGTACCAGCACAGGCTTGTGCTTGGGTTTCAGGGATATTCAGGATGCCTTGGAAGTTGTGGCTTTGTTATTCTCTTTGAATGGAGAGTCAATAGTACCGAGCCTTACAAACAGGCAGCCTTGTATGTCCATTTGCAGGGTCATAGTGATGCCCAGTCCTTGCTCACAGGGACCGTCCTCAGGTGTTCTCAGACTCCTAGCCAGAGGTTTTGACCATGTTCTTCCCAGTGCCCCACTGGACTCTGAAGAAAATGTTTACTTCCATGTAATGAGAATTTTGCGCTGTTATTTTCATTGTAACAAACCTTTTAGACAGGCTATGTATTCGTGACCATATCCAGCCAAAAGAATGGGTAGACTTTTTAGTGCAGCAGTAGTTGCAAATGAATAATTTAAATTTCATAATATTGCTTAGCATTTTGTGCAATTGAAATGGATTTTTTGTGTATTACTTTAATCAACTGAAAGCTTACTTGCAAGTGGACATTCATTAAAGCAAAGTTTACTTAACAGTATGAAATATTACAATTACTTCAATACTTTTTTTTCTTTTATTTTAGGTACTATGATTCTTCAGCTTTGAGGAGCAGCAGTTTCTCTAAATGGGATGACAATCCAGACTCTTTTTGGAAGAAAGAAAGTAATAACAGAGACATTGATATAATGCTAACTTCGAAAAGTTCAGCATATTCAGACAGGTATACCAAAAATACCTAGTTAACTTTTATACCCAGAGCTCAAGCTTGTTCATGTGATTTATGTTCTGGTCATAGTGGTGGGATCTCTGGGTTGGGGGATGTAAGAGAAAGAGAATTTGGATATGACTCTGATGAGCAGTCAAGAGACTTCAAGGCTGAATTTCTTCTTTTTAATTATTTACATTTTAAGCACCATGAATTCTTACTCAGTGCTCTACAGAATGCTGTAATTTCCAAAGTGTACCATCAAAAAGAAAAAAAAGAAGTAGGCAAAATGAGATAGTAAGAGAACTTCCATTATTTGAATGGTCTAAGAAGACACCTGCTTTATTTGCTCTGTTTGTTGCCTGATGAACCAAACTGAGCCAAGTCACCAATTGGATGCAGTTGCAGGGTACTCAGCTCATAGCATTAAGATACAAAGGTCACTTCTATGCAGCAAGTCTTCCTTCATGATAAAAGAAGGTGCTTCTTCTCTGACAACTTTGTTTTTGTCTTTGTGATCTAGGGAACAATTTAAAAATGTGTTATTTTTGTTTGTTTGGATGGTGTTTTCTGATTCTAAAGACAAAGTTTCATTGTTCATTTCCCTACACCATAGAGTTTGTGTGCTAAAATTTGTTTCCTGAAGACTGAGCCAATGATGCATATCCACACAGTATGCAAAATAATTAATATATATTAATTGATGTATATTACTTCTTTATTTGAGCTTGTTTATTTAAGAAAAAGAAGAGTTGAATGTGTATGTTTGCTGAAATGGACAGTAATGATAATTCAAGGGATGGTAAACCTTTTTTAACTGCTAGGGTTAAAAATGTACTTCACTGATGGAGAGGGGTGGTTTTTTTGTTTGTTTTGTTTTTTTTTGTGCAGAAATAAATCTGTCCTTGTTGACATAATGTGGACTTGCATTCTGTTGAACATTCACTGGCACTTTATTTGCTGCTCTGCTGTCTCAATTTAGAGGAAGTTAGCAGAGTTTCCTAGTCCTGGACTCACACTAATTTAATTTTTACTTCATTTTTTTTAAAGTTACAGTTATACTTGCAGATTTTGCAAAGCAAAAGTGATAATTTCTCGTTTGGTTTATTGCATGTGCTGTGACCTACATAAGTTTTTCTTGCTAATGTAGTTGATTTTAATTTCAGGCCTGCATCTCGTCGTAAGCCTGAATATGAGCCACCTTCAAACACAGATGAGGCACAAAAAAAATTTGGCAATGTAAAAGCTATTTCCTCAGACATGTATTTTGGAAGGCAAGATCATGCTGATGTAAGTACCAAACAGTGGTAGATGGTTTTGAATGCTCAAATACCCTTTGGCTGCAGAGCACAGTGTTTGAAAGAAGCAGAGTAGGCAATGAGTAATTAAAATGGGTAGAATTCAGGGTAAGTTTGCTAAGGAGAGGTTTGCAGAATTAAAGCCATTTAAATACTTATTTGATGGAAATTTAGAAAGGCCCCTTCCAAGCTTAATGATTCTATGGTAACTCTGGTAACTCTGATAGTTTATTATTTCCTTTAAAGGAGCTATACCTGTAAGCAGGACCTTGACTACCTTGTTACACTTCTCTGATAGAGCTGTTAGACTRATTCAGAAATGATTATTTATGAAAAAAATTAATCTGAGGTTATTTCATTTTAAAGTAGTCTAGTAAATATCTAAATGGATGCTTATAACCTATTAAGCGAAGAGCTGTCTACTGTCTATCATAATACCAAGCATGTAAATTGTTCAACAAATCACATATTACTTAACCAGTCTAAAAATCAGGAACAGATTAATGTTGTGATTTTTTGAGGTGAGGAAGAACTTTTCATAATATAAAGGGTAATGTAAAGAACATGAGCAAAGTRTTACTGTTCTGAACTAACTCACAAGAAACAAGTGAAGAAGTTAAAAGCATCATAGATCAGGAAGGTTAATATGATACTAACTGCAGAGTGTTTTCCTTATCTCATCCAASAAATGCATTTCAGATTTTTTGGGTTTTTTGATGGTTGCATAGTTCATTCCCTTCTGCCTAGTGAGTATTTTCCATTTTTTAGGGAAGATAGCAGTGAATAGGCTGCTGATTGAGTGTTGTAATGGGGAATGTCACTCTGAGCAATCAGGACATGGTTGAGATGATAGCCTTGCAACTGTGCAAGTCATGTGAAATCTATTAGGTGGTAACAGCTTTGGGAATTGTCACCTTGAGCTGGATTTGTAGGTTCTAAAGCTGAATCTGTAACCTTGTTATTGAATTATCTGACGTGAACCTAAAAGACAGGAGTATACTACTAAGATATTTCTTTTTATCAATTCTTTCCTAGTACGAAGCTAGGGCTCGACTAGAGAGACTTTCTGGAAGCTCCTCCATAAGTTCAGCTGACTTGTTTGAAGATCAGAAGAAGCAACCAGCAGGTATTGAACAGGGAGGGAACTGGAGCATGCTGTGGCATGTACACTGAGCCCAAGAGTCTCTGCTTCAGATCCGGTGTCAGTAAGAGAGTGTCACCCTGTTTTGCAAAAAACATGCAAAGTGCAAGAAGTATTAATAGTGTTAATAGTTCAAATGGGTRTGGCAGGTGTCATTTTCTATTTTTTTAAGATTCAGTTAAGTAGCATCTTTTGAACTGGTATTTATATGATGCTTTAGCTGCAAATGATAGATACGCTGAAAGATTGCAGACCTACCCGAGGGATTTTTCTCATCTGTTTCTGTAATAAAATGCTATAACTCCTGACAGGTACTCCTGAYCCTCCCCTGCATACAAATTTTATGCAACTATGCTAGCAGAGAAATATTTTTGTTAACAGTTCCCTACATGTTGTTTATTTTTTCCTTATGTCAGCCAAATTGTAAAAAAAAAAATGAATGGAAAGGAGGGATGAGGCATAAAAATTGGATTGCAGACTTCACTCAGTTGAAGGAATATTWGCGAAGTGCATAGAAAGCTTTTGGGAGGAGTAGGCAAATTAAAGGCATTGCTTTGTAACCTATAAGATACTCAGTGATCTATGAGAAAATGATAATTTTATTGCTCTTTCTCCTCAGTCTTTCTGCTGGCACTTTCTGCTGTAGTATATAAAAAGTTTTGGGGAGACGTAAGAAAAATAAAGGGTATTTCTTTATAACCCTGAAAATTTTCAGTAATACATGACATCATCGCTATTTCTCCTCAGTCTTTACTCCTGCTCTTTACCCTCACTTTACTCCTGCTCTGTACCTTCAGATTACTTCTATTCTTTGCCCTCTCTTTACTCCTATTCTTTACTCCCAGTTTAATCTCGCTGCTTACCCTCAATTTACTGTCATTCTTTACCCTCACTCTACTACTGCTCTTGCTCTTCCATTAAAAATTCTTTTCTTCTCCCGCTAATATTATTCCTATTCTTCTGATAATTCTGTTTCACTTCAGGTAGTAATTCYTTTTTTATTCCTCTAATAATTCCTTTCCTCTCCTTCTCATAAATTTCTTTCTCTCCCACTAAAAGATTTTATTCATATTCTCCTAATAATTTTATTTCACATTTTTCACACTAGGTAGTGATTCTCTTTTTATTCCCTAATAATTCCCTTCCACTGATAATTCCTTTTCTCTGCTGCTGGTAATTATCTACCCATTTCCCTCATGTTTTTCTTGGTCTCCTTCTCATAAATCTGTTTTTCTCCCACTAAAAAATTTATTCTTATTCTCTCAGTAATTCTACTTTTACACCAGGTAATTATTCTTTTTTTTCTGCACTAATAATTCCTTTCCTCTCTTGCTAATAATTCTCTTGCTGTTTCCCTCCGTTTTTTCTTCCTCTCCCGCTATTAATCTTTTCCTTTACAACAACTAATTTTATTCCTATTTTCCCAATAATTCTCTTCCACTCCAGGTAATAATTCTTTTTTTTAATTCCTCCAATAATATTCTTCCTCTCCTGCTCATAAATCTCTTCCTTTCCCTCTAATAATTTTATTGCTATTTTCCCAACGATTCTATTTCACTTCTGGTAGTATTTTTTTTTTCTTTCTTGCTAATAATTCTTTTCTTTTCCCGCTAATAATTTTATTCGTATTCCCAACTAATTCTTGCAGGCCAGGTAATTAGTCTCTTTTTATTCCCCTAATAATTGTCTACCTCTCCAGCTAATACTTCTCCTCTTCTCCTGGTAAGAATTCCCTTCCTGTTTCCATCACARTTCTCTTCCTCTCCTGCTCATATATTTCTCCCTCTCCCACGATTAATTTTTTCCTGTTTTCCCAATAATTCTCTTTCACGCCAGGTAATAGGTTTTTTTTTTTATTCCCTTTATGGTTCCTTTCCTCTCCTGCTAATAATTTTATTCTTATTCTCCCAATAATTCTCTTTCACTCCAGATAATTCTTCTCCTTTCCTAATAATAATTCATTTGCTTTCATGCTAATAGTTGTCTTCCTCTCCCATTATTTTTTTTTCCTATTTCATGAATTAATCTCTTTCATACCAGGTAATAATTACCTTTTTATTTGCCTAATAATTCTTTTCCTCTCCTGCTAATAATTTTCTTCCTATTCTCCAAATAATTTTCTTTCACTCCAGATAATTGTCTTTTTAATCCCCTGATAATTCCCTTCCTATCCCTCTAATAATTAATTTCCTCTCCTGCTACTAATTGTCATCTTCTCCTGCTAATGCTTTTATTCTTACTCTCCCAATAATTCTATTTGACACCAGGTAATAATTCTCTTTTTATTCCCCTAAACATACCCTTCCTTTCCCGCAAGTTCCTTTCCTCTCCCTCTAAAAGTTCTCATCCTCTCCCGCTAGTATATTTTTTTCCTATTCTGCCATTAAATCTCTTGTATGCCAGGCAGGAATTCCCTTTTTATTACCCTAACAATTTTCTTCCTTTCCAGGTAATAGTTCTCTTCTTCTCATGGTAATAATTATCTTCCTGTCTCTCAAATAATTCTCTTGGTCTCCCGCTATTTAATCTCTTTCCTTTCCACTAGTAGTTTTATTTCTGTTCTCCAAATAACTCTCTTTCACTCCAGGTAGTAATTTTCTTTGTATTCCCACAAGAATTTTCTTGCTCTTYCCCTCATAAATCCCTTCTTCTCTGCTATTTATTATATTCATATTGTCCCAATAATTCTCTTTCACTTCAGGTAACAATTCTCTTTTTATTCTGCCCCAAAATATCTTCCTCTTCTGCTCGTTAATCACTTTCTCTCCTGCTAATAATTTTATTCCTCTTTTCCCAATAAATCTCTTGCACACCGGGTGAGAATTCTCTTTTTTTATCCCTAATATTTCTCTTCCTCTCTGGCTAATACTTCTCTTCTGCACAGTATTATCTTCCCGTTTCCCTCATTCTCATGGTCTCCAATAATAAATCCCTTTCTCTCCTGCTAATAATTTTATTCCTATTCTCCCAATAAATCTCTTGCATGCCAGGTAAGAATTCTCTTTTTATACTCTTAATAATTCTCTCTGGCTAATACTTCTGCTGATTATTGTCTTCCTCTTTTGCTCTTTGGCCTCTTGGTATCCCAGTAATAAATCTATTCCTTTCCCACTAATAATTTTATTCCTATTCTACCGATAATTTTCTTTCATTTCATGTAATAATTCTCTTTTTTCCCCACTAATAATTCCCTTCTTTTCCCACTAATATTTCCCTTCCACTCCTGCTAATAATTCTCTTCCTATTTCCCTCATAACTTTCTTGGTCTCCCACTATTAAATCTCACCCTATCCTACCAATAATTTTACTACTCTTCTTCCAGTAATTCCCTTCCACTCCCAGGTAATAATTCTCTTTTTATCCGCCTAATACTTCCCTTCCTCTCCCACTGCTAATTCCTTTCTTCTCCTGCTATTAATTCTCATCCTCTCCCACTAAATACATTTATTCCAGTTCCTCCAATAATTCTCTTTCATTCCAGGTAATAATTCACTTTTTATTCCACTAATACTTGTCGTCTTCTCCGGCTAATAAACCTCTTCCTCTCTTGCTCATAAACTTCTTCCTCTCCAACTAATAATTTTATTACTATTCTCCCAATCAGTCTCTTTGACAGCAGATATTAATACTCTTTTTATTCCCCCAATAATTCCTTTCCTCTTAGCTAATACTTCTCTTCTGCTCCTGCTAATAATTATGTCATTATTTCCCTCATAATTCTCTTGCTCTCCTGCTAATAAATCTCTTCTCCCACTAATAATTTTATTCCTGTTCTTCCTATAATTCCCTTTCACTCCAGGTAATAATTCCTTTCCTCTCCTGCTAATAATTCCCATTTCGTCCCATTAATGATTTACTGGCAGAAGAGAAATAAAATTTATTGTATGTCAGTTAAGCATTCTCTTTTTTTCCCCTAATAATTCTCTTCCAGTCCRACTAATACTTCTCATCTTTTCCTGTTAATAATTTCATTCCTATTCTCCCAATACTTATATCTTACTCCAGTTAAAAACTCTCTTTTTATTCCCCTAATAATTCTCCATCTCCATGTAATTCTGTTCCTCTTCTTCCACTAATATTTGTCTGATTTTTCCACTGATAGTTTTTGTTATTCCCCTGATGATTCTTTTGCTCTCCTGCTATTCCATTGATGTTTCTCTTCTTATTCCACTGATATTTGTCTTCTGGTCATGCTACAAACTTTCTTCTAATTCCAATAATAATTCCCTTCCTACTCCCCTAGTAATTCCCTTCTTATTCCGCTAATAGATACTTCCTCACCTGCTTATAAATTGCTACCTATTCCCCTAATCATTTTCTTCCTATTCTGCTAATAATTCATTTCTTCTCGGGCTAATACTTCTCTTCCTCTCCTGCTAATAATTCTCTATCGTTCCCACTGTAATTCTCTTCCTCCTCTTCTGTTAAGAATTCTCTTCCTCTCCCACTAATAATTTTAATCTTATTCTCCTCATCATTTCCTTTCTCCTGAGCTATAAATTCTCTCTTTTATAGGCCTCAAATTTCTTACTTTACTGCTAAAATCCCAGTTTCTGTTCCTCTAGATAATTTTTCTCTCCTGCTAAGAATTTTATTAACCATTCWCCTAAGACTTGTATTTCTCTTCTGCTAATAAATCTCCTCCTCTCCGACTAATAAATCTCTTCCTATACTCCCAGTATTTAGCTTTTACTCCAATTAAAAGTTCTCTTTTTATTTCCCTAATAATTCTCTTCTCTGGCTCCTCTCGTGTTGCACTAATTAGCTCTTCCTATTTTCCTGATAATTCTCTTCCCATTCTTCCATTAATTCACTTCTTCTCTGGCGACTACTTCTTATCTGGCTAATAATTTTCTGCTTTTCCCACTATACTGCTCTTCCTCTTTTAAGAGTTCTCTTCTTCTCCCGCTAATCATTTTCTTCTTATTTTGATAATGATTTGTTTCCTCTTCCAATAAGAACTTCCTTCCTTTTCCCCTAAAGAG